ATTGATATACATAATAACTGATATATAATTATGTGAGATATATATAATTGATATACATAATAACTGATATATAATTATGTGTGATATATATATAATTGATATATATAATAACTGATATATAACTAATATATATAATATAATATATACTGCTATGTATAGTATATATAAAAGTAACGGTATAGTAAGCATCAACGAAAGTGCACTCGTTCTTCGTCTATTGAAGCTGGAAACTGATTTGCAAAATGTCGGCGTTCGCGTTCGAATCGAGCACCGGTGTTCCCACAAGCTACGAGCGCTCGTGACCGAATAGATTTCGAAACCCTCTCCCCGTCGTGCCGCATTTCGGAAAGGTAAGCGTGTACGATTTATCACGTGATCCGATCGTTTCTGTTAATGTACTCCCGTCGCTAACGCTTTATCGTGGTTCCTGTAAATATCGATGTCCCGAGCGGCGTGGCTCACGCACCGTCATAAATAAAAAGTAAAACGATCGGATCCACGGCGTTTCCACGGTTCCTCGGCGTCTGCTCACGCAACAAGTCTCCCGCAGCGCCGCGAGGATGACTTATCGCGCCCCTATCGTGATCGGAGTTTGCTCCATTTCCTCGTGTCCTTTTCCACCACTTACACCGTCTTCACACCCTCGAGGACAAAGATGCAGTTTCTCCACTTCCGATCTATAGCTCCTGCTGAGAGAATTCGTCCATAGACCGTACCAACAACTTACGCGACCTAGAAATTGTTTCGACTATTCGCGAAATCATTTTGGACACTCGTCGCAACACAATTTTTTCATAATTGCGTTTTACGCTAGTCTTTGTAGGGGAGGACAAAAAAGCTAAAACTTTAGACGGAGGAGAACAAAAAAGCTGAAAGATCTACCTAATTCTGGTTTGATGCATTCGGTAGATCGGTTTCTTTACTACGACAATGCACAGTGTCAATGAGTTTCTCCTGTGTTTATTTGCTTTATTTTTAATTTAAAAAAAATGCATTTCGTCCATTCGTCAATTTGTTTAATAGCTACGATAAAAAAGACTATCCAATGCTACATATCGACATTCTCGAAGATATACCTGATCGAATGCAATAAATAAAAACTCAATGAAAATTATCAGTTTTTCATTACAACGTTACGAGATGAAAGAGAAAATATTACTTCCGAGCCTAAAAAGAATTAGTTGTGTGACATTGTTACGTATTAACTAGTACAGTTTAATGTAGTTACAATACAAGTGTAATTTTATCGGAGAAATGAGATAATAGTAATGTGCTGTTCAATACGTGTCCTATTTATGGTAGTTCTCCTCTAGATTTGCATTCATCCAGATCAAAAATATCTTGCTCTCGTTTTATCGAGGTACAGTAGAACCTCGATTAATAACCGAGATCCCAACTGTATTCGGTAAACGTGAACTTTCCGCCCGAATGTATGTACCTTCTGCATCACTGATCACACTTGTTATAAAAATGTGAAATGAAACATTTTACCTGAGACCATACAACGCTCCGTTTCTCGATGTTGAATTAATACGCTGCGTTCGCGCAGCTGTTTTTTGTTCGATATTTAGCTTACTTTGTCCATGCTTTGTTGATTACGTGAAAATGCTCGGCTATGTTAAAAAAAAAAAAAGAAAAAAGAACGGGTTCAGTATCTACAATGGTTAAATTTTCGTGATATCTGCGCACGATTCCTGGGCCGCGTATTGTCCACGTAGGAAAATAACGGCAGAACTTTTTCATCCGGTTAATTAGAGTTTTCGAAATAAGGTTTTAATTGAATTGTGCAGTCTCCATTTTTCGCGGACCGTGTTCTGTTTTGTTCGTCAACATCGAGCGCGAGCTGATGAGACAAACGTTTAAATAACCCAAATTGCACGGCGTTCGTCTCGTCCGCGGACAAAAAACCTTGCGCTCCGCCGGTTTCTTATTTCGCGGGCATGAATATTCATTCGAAATATTAATTGTGCCGCTCGCCCTCGGCGTAACAAAGACCGCCGCAGTGAAATTGATCGAATCGATGGGGAAGCCATCGAAGACACTGTCGGTACGTTGCGATAAATACGACTGTGGTAAATTGCAAATATATTGCAATCGAAACCTTTCAATTTAATTAATACGGATCAATATAAAAATATGAACTTACAATTTTTCCATTCTCATCAAAATTGCCACTTTTGGTAGCGAAAAAATATTGCAACACGCTTTCGACGTCTTGTCGTTCGCAAAATCGCTGGTTTTATTATTGATCTTTTAGTCGAATGAAGCAATAGTTCAGTAAGTTGTTTAAGCATAATACGTTCTCTTTCAATTAATGCAGTGCGTACATGCAGTTTCACAATTGCAAAACCTAGCAGTAGCATGAATGTTCTTAGTTATCTGACAGTTGGATAGATTTTATTGCAAGAGAAACAGATGCAAGATTCACAAAAAGTACTGTATTAGGAGTTTTAGGAGTCTTTATTTTTGTATATTACTTTCTTTTTATCAGGAGTGTTCTGCGATAACGAAACTTATTCAGCGTTCCTGAAAACTGCTGATCACGATTTTTATTTTACACGAACAAACAATACCTTTCCTATCACATTTCTAACACATCTGCTCAAACATTATACCGAAAAGATCACGAAATTGTTACTATTATTGTAACGAGTACTATAATATGCAAGTATGCGTGTTTCTGATGTATGAAGTAAGTGAGAACACCGATAGAATGAGCGTCAACTGGTGCGAAAATTAACTGATCAACGAGATTGTGTCCGAACGTTTCTACGAAAATGCGACCAATTCGCTTCTAATTTTTGCACGATTAAAAAACATGACAATTTCGGGTCTTAGCCTAACGTTTCCGTTTAATACGACGCACCTGTCTCCCAGACGGGAAACAATGTCTGCATTTCGCATACAGTTAAGCTCGGTGAAGGCCGTTACTCCGCCCACGCGGCTCGAAGACGCCGCGGCGACGGTACGCACCAGAATTCGCAGTTTATGGGGAATCGATACGGGGGCCCCGTAGTTTTGTTAACAGCCGCATTAAGCTATCACGCGAGAGTGCCATTACCAAGTCGATCGTAAGTAAGCCCGAAGTAACGATGCTGCGTGGAAACGCGCGACCGTTGCCATACGCGTACGCCGCTTCTGGAAAGCAGTGCTCCTGCCTCGGAGTTTCCTCCGGGGGTAAAGGAACGCACGCCCCGTCGATTAATCGAATCGGCCGCCCGAGTCGTTTACTTTGCGCCAGCATGCAAACGAGATGCCGGAAGTTCGCGCGAAAATCTTACGGTTATTTCGCAAAACGGACACCGTCGGACCGAGCAATAGTCCATTTCCTTTAACAATCCGCCGGTTTTCTTGCGCCGATGCGAAACCCGATTCTGTGTACGGCATTCCGTGTTCCCACTTTGTCGTTCCGAGAGTCCCCGGAATGAAAATTTGCCGAAATTCATGAAACTGCGGTATTATAACTTTAATGCATAAAGGCCGCGGAAAATGGAACGATCCGATGTCTTATCCGGCCGAGCTCGTTCGCAGAAGCTGTATTTATCACGGTTGCCTTGCAAATACGATTGTATAACTGAGTCATAAGGTTTACTGTAACTCTATTTTTGATCCTTGGATTTTAAATATTATAATTTTTAATATTTTATTTTAAATATTATAAATATTATAATATAATATATATATATTATATATAATAATATTTTATTATATACTATAATATATAATATATAATATTATAAATATTTTATTTTAAATATTATAATTTTCACTATAATTGACACAGGATGATGTTTGTTATTGAAAGGACTAGACTGCGGATATGACTTTTAATAGATTTTTTAAACAAAAATTAGAATAAATGGAAACAATTTATTTTCACAACCGGAAGGTATCCTGTACTGCAAAATGAAATGAACATACTATTACTTTGTGTTAATGTACGCTATCCAGAGCTAAAAATTTTTAATTTTCGTTTTTTGTATGTTTCATAATTGAACTTTTGCATTACTTGCAAGTTACCGTGCTCCTTTTAAAAGTGTACAAAGTGTGAAAAAAGGTTATGCCATGGTTATCGTAGACGTATTCTACTCGTTTAATTCAAATTTAGTTCAATCTATTAAAAAAACTTTCTGCAAAAGCAACCTTGACCACATTTTTCAAGGTCAAATTTTTTTATGACCGCATCCTATTCTACTCACCGAGAGGGGAAAACTTGCAAAAGAAACCATTTATCTCAAAACAACCGTTTCCTTACAATTTAATGTTGAATATTTACCGATTAAATTGTATTTATCGTAACTTACACAGAATGTGGCACATTTCGACACTTTCGACAGTCCAAGAAAATAATGTTTCGAATGAAACATTTTGAAATTTGTTATTTTTCAATACATACTAATTAACTAAATACTAATTAACTATCGTTTGAAACATCTTTTTGTTGGACTGTCGAAAGTGCTTGAAAAACCCTAGCGACAGTTATGTGCCATTTAAATCAAATTCAATCGGCAAATGTTCAACATTAAATTATAACGAAACTGTTGTTTCGGGACATATGGTTTCTTTTGCAAATTTGCTCCTCTCGATGAGTAGAATAGGATGCAATGATACAAAAATTTGACCTTGAAAAATAAGGTCCAGGTCATTTTTGTAGAAAGTTCTTTTATCAGATCTCCATCGATCTGAAGGTGTAGAATAGTAGTCTATGATAGACATGACATAACCTCTTTTTTACATCTTGAACATAGTACGAATGCGTAAAGATCCATATTCTGGCAATTATATATATAATATATAATATATAAATTATATAAATTATATATATATATATAATATATAAATTATATAAATTATATATATATAATATATAATATATAAAAGGCTAGTGTTAATGCTAACTTTTAGTAAAAAATATTTTTAGGGAATTCAGTGCTCATTTTATACTGCGGAATTCCACTTTAGAAATGTTCATCTGGTAATATTACTGTGAATCTCCTCAGGTTAGACTTTCAACGAGATGTCAGGATCTTGGCTGCTCTGGAGGATCGAAATATAGCTAGAGTCTTGGGTGCCTGCTGCCGCGAGGAACCATTCTGCGTCGTTATGGAGTACCTGGAGCACGGAGATCTCTGCCAATTCTTAAAAACGCATATCACTGCCGAAGATGCCCACTCGATGCCAATCGGTGTCAAAACCCTGAGGTAATGATCGACAATTTCGAAAAAGAGAGAAAGTAATTTGTCCATTAAGATCCCTTGAACCTTACTATACTCCTACACAGATCGCGAAATTAAAAAGCAGTTTTCAAATTATGCTTCAATGTTATTCTTCGAACCTTTTACCAAGTTTTAACGCATATGGAAAAACGCATTTCGTCCTGTTTGGTTCGCAAAATGTAAATTATAAATATTCTCCTCTTTTCAAAACGATTACGTTATTTTGCTCAAAATTCGACTTATACTCTCTCGCTCGTCAACCAGAGTATCAAAATGACAAAAGAACCTAATATCAAAGATTACGGAATATCGAAATAGATTTAATCCTTTGCACTCGAGTGGTGACTCTGAGGCACCGCTAAAATTTGTTGCATCACCTTTTAAGATCATATTTTGATATTAACAAAAAAAGTTTAGATTTAAAAAATGATTGAGAGCGTAACCGTTGCGCGAGTCCCAAGAGTCAATTTCATACGCATAAAATGCATTTCGTCGTATAAAATAGAAATACTATAAGTCAAAAAAATGATTTTATATTTACATGTAAAATAGCTTCGAGTGCAAAGGGTTAAGCTCGTCACTTTCGATCAAGGAACAGTTAAGAAATAACAGAATTCCGAATATTCCGGTAACGCGATCTTCGACGTTCGCATCGGGTGACTTCCGTAAAATTAATCAGTCGCAGAGAGAATTCCAAAATAATTCCCCCGCGGAGCAACAGCTCCGGGACTCGAGATTTACGATTAGTTTCATCCGCTGTGGCAAGGCGTCGCGTCGCGAAGTTAACACCCAATAAGTTTCACCGGGGGCCGGAGTTTGAAGCGTTTATTAATCGTGAGCGACGTAGTCTTCGCGCAGTCACCGAATCCTCGGCGGTTCCGTCGTTTCCACGATCTCGCCGCCCTCGAATGCCGTCCTCCAGGTTTCTCACACCCGCGCCCACCGAAAACCTGGAAGCCCCGCGACTCAACTTTGTCCTCCGGGCGACGGCTCACGTCGTTTCCTCGTTTCAGTTTCAACTGTCTCATCTACATGGCGGCTCAGATCGCGTCGGGCATGCGGTACCTGGAGAATCTGAACTTCGTGCACCGGGATCTGGCTACTAGGTGAGTACGACGGAAAGTTCACGCGAACGTATCAGCCGTGGATCTCCCTTTTCCCGAGGGAATAAACGGGCGTCTTAGCAGATCCTCCAACTATCATTTCTTCTACCCCGCGCGCGGACGGTTCGTCGTTCGGAGACACGCGAACGTTGTTTCGACTTCTCGGGAGGAATCCGCTGACGGTCGACGGTAATGTAGACTCGATTGTTCGAGCGGTAGTGTTGATTATTTGCTTGCAAATAATTAAAGGCAGAGTTTTAGGTAAAAGTATATTTATTGAACACACGGAAACGCAAGATCTAATATACAGGCTTGCTCGTAAGAGCTTAGAGACGACGAGTGGCTTAGGGAGCTAAAATTTTACACAATTTTCCAAACTATAAACCAAGATCCGCGAAAATTAATTGCAGTGCTTCAAACGCTGCTTTTTGACAATTCTTCGAACCTCCATAAACTTTGATAAATATCTTACCGACCATGTGAATCAGAGAGCTAAAATTTTGCGCGGTTTCTGAAAGTGCAGAACTGTTGATTATTTGCTTGCGAATAATTAAAGGCAGAGTTTTAGGTGAAAGTATATTTATTGAACACACGGAAACACAAGATCTAATATACAGGCTTGCTCGTAAGAGCTTAGAGACGACGAGTGCACTCGTAAGCTGCTCGCAGACGACTGACTAAAAAACCGCGGAAGACACGCAAACTGTGGGTCGGAAAATCCTTAGTGGTCATAAATAACCAATCCGCTCTCGCACCGCGTGTAACGGACTTTCGAGTCAAAATTTGCTCGACTCGAGTTGACGCGCGTTTAGCGCTCGCGTGCCCTGCGGATGGGCCGCAAGAGCCGTCTTACCTGAAAAACGGACAAGGCCGTAAAACATACAAAGTACCCATTTTCAATAGCATCGAAAATGCCAGACATTTTCAGGTAGAAACACGGTTAAACGGACGCTTGATTGGCCGAGTGACATTGCTTCCGTCCATTGAGCGAATTTCTTGATAATTCTTGATGATTCTCCGGCTGCTATCTTATCTTGACTTTATTTTTACCTTCCTTTTTTTTTATAAGTCCCGAATACTCTTTTATGTCTCCAGAGTTTCGAGAATCAGCTAACAATTTTTACTGCTACGTGTTACCTCAGTTTCCTTGGATAAAACAGAATTAACCGATTTGTGATATATTTACCTCTCCACGATTTCAAATTTAAATTTAATAAGCTTATGGATGTTCTGCATTATAGCTTATGAAACGAGAGTGTACCGCTCGGATTGCTTTGAATATGAAAATTTGTTGAAGGGTTGTTTGTTGGAATGTCGAATAAAATGTTTCGCAGTTGCTAACCTAATTTAGCAAAACACAGTTATGATTTTTAATCTCGTATGTATAGATAATTCGATGAAATAAAAGTAAAGCATAACGATTGCGTACACATTATTTATAAACGTGATCGCGTTTCGTATTGTACAATTAAAAGGAGAAACACATTTTTGAGAGAACGTTGACGTTTCGAATCATAATTCTTGTTATTATCTTATGAAACGCGCCGGAAGTCCAGGAATAAAGTTTTGTATCGCTCGACGTGCGTCGGTCTTTGGAAAGTTCTAAACATCCATTAAAACGAGACGAAACTCCGCCATTGAGCCCCTCTGTTGTACGCTTACGTTGAAATTAAATTATGGCTTTCCCAGGGTGCATTTCCATAAGCTCGAAAACAAACGAAGCCGGAAACCCACATGGGAAATCAACGATTCGTTAGTGATCCGTCGAGCGGAAAACAGCAAGAACACCGGCTTATTTTCGTCGAGAACAACGATTAAATCTGAATCTCGCAGTCATTGATAAGTTTGTCAACGGTAAACATTTTCTTGATTCGTTAGGGGAAGCAATTATTTTCGTTCCTTTTTTTGCCGAACGAACCAGTCGCCGATCGGTTGCCGCAATTTCCGCGAAATTCTTCTTGATGTAGAAATCAAAAATAACTATTAATCCTGGGTGGCATCTCCACTTTTCAATTTATATATCCTTCAATTATTTAAGCAGGTTTTTGGCAAATTTTAAGCAGATTTTACGAAACTAAATAATTTTCTTATCTGTCCAATGTGAATGGAATAATTTTCTTTTCTTTTCTTTTTCTTTTTAACGCTAACCTTATCATAAGAAACCCTATCTTAAGAAACGATTGAATAAATTCCTTTGTTCGAGCTTACATTGTAATAAAAATGGCAAACAGTTTAGATACATTTAACACTTCCACGACCGCGCTGGAAACCTCAAAAATTTTCATAAAATTAAAATATTTCATTCAATTTAGCAAAAATTACGAAACAAACTTATATGGCATTAATTACTTCATCAGCATTCGTACCTTTTGCAAATCTTAATAAAATCAAGCAATCATTTTTAATTCTTCAATAATCATCCGTTCGGTCATCAATCGATTGAATTTCAAACGGGGAGATCTCCCCATTCGGTTGGCTAAGTGTTAATCTTGCTAAGTGTTATATATATACAGAAATAAAGGAAATAAAAGAATTAAATGTTCTATTATCAATTTCATCTCTTCGTGAGAATTAGATTCAAAAACCGAGGTTCTACTAGAATCTCCTGTCACAGAATTCTCTTTACGTATATATATACAGAAATAAAGGAAATAGAAGAATTTTGAATTACTGTAATCGTAAAGAGAATTCTGTGACAGGAGATTGTAGTAGAACCTCGGTTTTTGAAACTAATTCTCACGAAGACATGAAACCGATAATAGAACATTTAATTAGATACGTTCCTAGATGAAATCTTCACTGATTTTTATAATATACAGTTCTGCATTTACATCGTCTTAGATCGAACTATTTACAGAACGACAAATTTAAATATCAGAGGTTTCACTGTATTTACGAAATGTACATTCTACACGTTTCCATTCCGGCAATATCGATTCTTAGCATTTACCATTTCAATTTATCGCGATCGTTTCGAAGCTTGTTACAGCGGATATCGGCGCACGTTTATTTAAAAAATGTGAAAAGGGATAAGAGATTAGTTCCATCCGTTCTGGTCTGGCGAAGCCGTGATCTCCGGCGTTGTATACGTAAGGCGTGCAATATTCGGGATCAGGGACCCTTGACTCCCGCAGACAAAAGCTTCTAGCCAGTATGCAACGAAACCCATCCACGTTCCTGTTATTGAAATGCAATGGCCATTCCGTCGAATCGATGGGGAAGTATAGATGCACATATGTGCATATGCGCTCTACATACATATTCACGCTAACCGCGGCGCTCTTACAACACGTGGAACCTAGTTTCCGGTTGACCAGTGTCTCTCAAACGACCGCTCGTAAATCTTAATAGAATACCAGGATGCGCTTCCTGTGCGCTCCCGGCGCGGTATTATTACGGCGTTGCACGTGCCTCCAAATGCCCGTAGGACGATTTAAGTCGACGATTGTGCAGCAAGCAGCGATCCACGCCACCGGCCAGAAATATCGAACCACCTGACTTATTGTTACCATTTTTCCCTAAGAGCGCGCTTAATAAGATTAAATCTTTCCAGACCGGACGATATCCATTCCATTAAATGACCATTTTTTCGTATCGTTTAACCGTTCGCGTACCACGAGCCACTTTTGCGCTCTTCAGATTTTGCGTCGAGAAAAGCCAGGGCATTTGGCCGAAACAGACGACTTACGGCCCACCCGAAATCTGTCGAAACGTGCTCAGTCTTTCGGACGCATGTATACGTCGCGAGTCGCATCGCTGTCAGTAATCCAATTTGCATTTTGTTGTTACCTATTCTAAATTAATAGTATATATATTTTCATTCGTAACGTTTTATTTTAGGTTTTACGGCTTTTTTCGACACATAATCGAAGGAGCGCTATTGCACTCGTCGGCTTTTTTCGACACATAATCGAAGCAGCGCTATTGCGCTCTTCATCTTTTTTCGACACATAATCGAAGGAGCGCTATCGCGCTCTTCGGGGCCTTTCGATCCTGTTTTTTCAGAACCATCTGGTACGCAAACGATTAAATACAGACTCAGATCTAACCGGCAGGTAAGAACGTTCTCGTATTTGGTCATTTGCTGATAATAGTCAGCTGCTTCTCGTTGTGAATGCTCGATGTGTTGTTAGACACCGTCGTTTTATTCATTCCTAAGTATTCAATAATTTAAGACAGACATTTGCTTGCTGAATGCGTTCAGTGCCGCGTGAATCACGTATGGGTGACACTAATTTTTAACTTGGTTTTTGACATTCATTTTTATTGTAATATATTGAGCAAATTGAATATTACTAGGATTTGTAGAATGCTAAATAGCTGAACCAATATTTCCTATGGTGAATTTTCACTTTCTAGTTTCGGTGACATTAATTAAATGAGAGAGACTTTGCTATTCTGTGAATTTTCCGAGTTAATATTCTGCACCTAATCTGTTAAAATGCTGTGCCACATTGATATTTTACACAATAGTTGAGAACTCGATGTGTTTTTTGTGACTTCTTGAATTAATTTTAGTCGTTTCGTCGTATCTGTCTATAAGATGAAGTGAAAAAGTTTGTGTAGAAGTTTAAAGTACGACCAACATGTAATCAGATGATTCCAATATGGAATTGTGATCGTTCGATTTTTACATTCTTATACGAATCCGAATGTACTGTTTGTAAAAGATAAACTTTTTGGATTTTTACTGAAAATATTCTTTTCTGCGCGTTTAATTTCACGCAGCTGTACACAGTAATTACTCCACTGCGGATCTTATGCATTTGTGAGAACAGTGAGTAGTTTTAATGCAAAACAGTAAAGACTCGACTCGTTAAAATTATTATTAATAAGAGAAATGAATATGCGTGTAGCTGCTGTATCTTGCAATTAATGCAGATGGCTCACATTAACTAGGTTTTTGACATTCATTTTTATTGTAATATATTGAGCAAATTGAATATTACTAGGACCTTTTTCAGAACCATCTGGTACGCAAACGGTTAAGATCGGTCACGAGA